GGCCCGGGGACCATGGGGGGGGGGGGGGGGCGACGTGGGCCAGGGGGATGGAGAACGGCCTCCCCGTCAACGCGCCGGGACCAGGCAGCTTGGGATGACGGCCCAGGACGTCCGCCCCCGCGGCAGACGGAGCGCTCATTCTCGCATTCACGGGCGTGATCTGTTGGGATCCTGACCCCACAGCATTGCTGCCTGGACAGCTGGCACGTGGAGTCTTCCTCACAATTAAAAACGACACAGTCTGGCCCCTGGGTGGCTGGAGAGAGAGGCATGTGTCCCAGCTACACCCGCCTTCCCAGCAGAGTCATCGCGGGTGCCATGTGCACCTCACGGCCACGCCTGTGGGAGCTGGATTCAGTGGAGACAGTGAACACACACCCACCTCCCTGCACGTGTGTGAGCACAGAGAGGCGTGGAGTCTCACGGCCAAAGACATCGCCAGGTCCCCGGGGCCACCCGCTCACCAGGGGCGAACACGCATGTGAACAGGTGAGAACCGGAGGTTTGAAATGCCGTTTGGAGTCCGCGGGACACAGGGCTGGGGGCAGGGCTGGCGAGAAGCTAGACATGAGGGAGTCTGTGTGAACAGTCAACCGACAGGAGGCAGTCACACAGGGAGACGAGAGCACGCTCCTGGCCGCAGGCTCCCAGGTTCAGCCTCGCTGGGCGGGTCACCAGCTGGGACGCTGGCCAATCTCCCCCGTTTCTGGGGTCGCCTATCAAGGCTGACTCCCCTCCCAACTCCCGACTCCTGTGGGGAGAGCCCCTGAAATAAACTACAGATGAGGGTGTTTGGGGCCGGGAAGCCTGGAGGTGGGTACCAGGCCTAGTGCAGTGAGGGCGTGGCTGTTACATCCTCCAGGCCTAGGGCAGCGAGGGTGTGGCTGTTACATCCTTGGGTCCCGCTGATGCTGATGTGTCTGGAGATGAGTCAGCTCCTGTTTGTGGTCCAGGGAGGGAGACCCCTTGCCGAGAGAGACCACCCTCTTCCAGAATGTTCCATGGGGACTGAGAGAACATGTGTACTTCGTTGTTTGCTAGAACCGTCCATCAATGCCAATGAGGTCAAATCCAACAGTGCTGTGCTCCAAATCGGCATCCTATTGATGTCCTGCCCACCTGCTTCCTGCACTGCTCAGAGTGAAGTCTGAACTCCGTGATTGTAATTTTAAATTGGTCCATTCTCCTTACCCTTCTGTAGGGAGCAGCTATAGGATTAAGCCTCGGGCTGACCTGTGGCAGGGCCACAAACAAGTCCCAGCCTGGAGGGCAGAGCTCTCGTAGCACAATTAAGCCTGACCTGTAGCCCTCCCTAATTCCTTCCTAAGTAGCTAATGGGCTGTGGGAGGTGCAGCAAGTGTTGTCAACACAAGAACATTTGTAGACGTGTTCATCTACCCTTGTTTTAATCAGACTATAAAATAAAGCATCGGCTTGCAGGCTGGGTCTTTCTGTGTCCTCATCCAGGCACGGGAGGTCCACTGAGCCCCAGCTGTATTCTCTCTGTCTGTCTTCTTTAATCCTTCACCGCCTCTCCTCAGGCTCACCCTTGGCCGTGCTGGCGCGGCACACCATTCTACTCGTTTTTGCTGAATGTATTTTGAAGCTTCCTTCTTAGGTGTATAAATAATTAAAATTGTTATATTTTAAAAATAAACAACTCCTTTATTACTGTCGAAAAAAGTCCCTGTCAAAAGGGCGACACCTACGGGCCCTGCCCCAGGTTGTGTGCTGGGCTCGTGGAGAGGACACGTGTGCTGAGTGCTCACAGCGGGGTCTGCATGTGGTCCGGGCTCATGGATTGGACACGTGTGCTGAGTGCTCACAGCGGTGCCTGCACATGGTCCGGGCTCATGATAGGACACGTGTGCTGAGTGCTCACAACGGGGTGTGCACGTGGTCTGGGCTCATGGATTGGACACGTGTGCTGAGTGCTCACAGCGGTGTCTGCACGTGGTCCGGGCTCATGAGAGGACACGTGTGCTGAGTGCTCACAACGGGGTGTGCACGTGGTCCAGGCTCATGGGGAGGACACGTGTGCTGAGTGCTCACAGCGGTGTCTGCACGTGGTCCGGGCTCATGAGAGGACACGTGTGCTGAGTGCTCACAACGGGGTGTACACGTGGTCTGGGCTCATGGATTGGACACGTGTGCTGAGTGCTCACAACGGGGTGTACACGTGGTCTGGGCTCATGGATTGGACACGTGTGCTGAGTGCTCACAGGGGGGTCTGCACGTGGTCCAGGCTCATGGAGAGGACACGTGTGCTGAGTGCTCACAGCGGTGTCTGCACGTGGTCCGGGCTCGTGGAGAGGACACATGTGCTGAGTGCTCACAGCGGTGTCTGCACAGGTTCGGGCTCATGAGAGGACACGTGTACTGAGTGCTCACAGCGGGGTCTGCACATGGTCTGGGCTTGTGGGGAGGACACATGTGCTGAGTGGACACAGCAGAGCTTGCATGTGTCCGGGTTCATTCAGGGAACTAACCTCTCAGGACCTGGTCAGACCTGAGTGAAATGTGTGCAGACCTTTACTGGTGAATCCCACGGAGAGAAATCAGGAAGAGAAATGGATGCGTGTGCCACGTAGACCAGCCTTGGAAACAGGCGGCCTTTCTCCCAGATGTGACGCCCCGGTTCCATCTAAGTGGACAAGCAGGCACACAGCCAGCCACCGCAGGCTCGGGCCGCTCGCCAGGCACAGGGAAGCTGTGCTCTAGAGCGAGTCCAGCAGACATTACTGGGGTGGAGACGGCGTCCACAGGGCACCGGGATGCCGAGCTCTCGCCGGTCACAGCCGGGCATTTGGTGATATTGCCAACGTGTTTGCTGAGCCAAGTGTCAATGCATTCGCTGAGGATGTAGCTTTCACAGTTTCTCATGAACCTTTCATTCAGCCTTTTCCCAAACACAGCGGGACCTCGTTGGACGGTGTTTTGAATGTCAGGGTTGGTCAGAAACGTGTGGAACAGCGGGAGGTCTGACACCCCCTCTCCCAGGCCTGGCACGCCTGGTCGGCACTGGACGGGACGGCTCACCGCTCTGGTCCGCGCTGCCCTCCCGGCGGCTGTTGAAACTGTGGGGGTGGCCTGTTCAGTTCGTCCTCCACGGAGCCCCCTGGGTCGTGAAGAAAACCCGGTGGAGCGAAAGCCTAGCTCCAGCCACGGGGTGACGGGTCCCGCCGGCGGGCAGGGGTGCGCTGGCCCTACCTGCTACATGAGTGAGGAAAGCAGCCCCGGGCAGGAGAGCCTGCCCGCAGGAGACAGGGACCAGCCTTTGCCAACACCGCAGAAGGCCTGGCTGCGGCCCCTCTCACCCAAGCTTCTACCCGGATTCACTAAGTGGCTCCTCCCCTTCACAGCAAGGCAGACGGCCCGCGCCCAGCTCCCCTGCGTTCTCGGGGACGCTGGTGCCTGCCAGGCGCCGGCTGCGGGCATCGGAGGCCCCCACTGCCCTCGGGATTGGGAGCCACGGGAAGCCCTGACTCCGCTCCTCTCCCACGCTCATCCCAGGTGCCCTTGCTCAGCTGCGCTCGGAGTCTGACCCGTCCGGACTGGTTTCTGTGCGGGGGCTTCCTGGGGACAGTCGCTGGAGGCTGTGTCCTGGGTGGCGGAATCGAGTCGTGCTCTGAGCAACGGCGATATTGTGTGTTTTCCTGTTTATTCTCATTTATTATGAAACCACCTCCAGGTCCTGCTTGTCTGGTGCCTACGAGCATCATGATCCCCTGGGAGGCAGCTGTGATGGGGGAACACAGGATCCGCAGCACAAACCCGCTGCCCAGGTCCCGTCAGAGTGGGGGCCGTCCCCGTGGGGGACAGCGTCTTTCTAACATCCCCTGGGCTCCGTTTCCAGCTGCTCGGAAGCCCTGGCCGATGGGAGCCTTCTAACGCTAGTAAACTGATGGTCAGCGAGGGAAAGGCACGTGGTTTAGTCTGTCACATCGCCAGACACAACCTTCATTCTAACGCAATGAGATGCCACTGGGTTCAGCTAGAGCAGGGGTGGGGACGTCCGGGGGCCGCCGAAGGCCTGTGAAGGCCAGAGCATCAGGGGCAGGTTAATGGAACGCTGGGTCGGATAGAGCAGGCTCACTTTTAAGCGGGCGATGCCGTAAGGCTCTCGGATGCTATAAATATCCACAGGGCTGTGGCGGGAAAAGGGTTCCCACCCTGCTCTGTGGGATCCAAGTCCCTGGGGGCGTGACTCGGGGGGCGGCCGGAGCAGGCCAGGGACTCACCTCTGCCC